TTTTAATTATTTCTTTTTTGGCAATTTATTCCACTTCCGATTCAAATTTAATTGAATTTTTTCTTCTGCACCCCCTCCAGCATTCTTACATCACTTAATCACTGATTGGATCCTTATTGGATCACTTGTCACTGATTGGATCCTTACTGGAAGGGGATTTTAATACCAGAAAATAATTCCAGCAAAAAACAGTCAACCCTGGTTCACTCCTAAATGCGCTGCACATAACTCATTGAAGTCACTACTTCAATATCTATCGCAAGGTACGATGTGGTTCTGCCCTTAACGCATTAAGAAATTGTGTCCACAATCACTGCAAAAAGTTTCTAGAGAAACGCCAATTTCAGCTACGCATTCAATCTAGACCAGGTTGAAGAGAACAAATTGGATCCCATTAATTCTGGAAGATCACCAACAAAATCAGAAAAAGAGGTAAAAGCGGCTGTGCCCCACAATTGAAAATGGCCCCAGGGTTATATCTTCCTTGACAGATAAGGCGAATCTCTTCGCCCATCTTTACTTAACGTTAGATGACAAAGACCATCCTCTCATAAAGTTCGCACGTCTCACTCAGTACAATCTCAATAATATTACCATTACAGCACGAGAAGACTCTAGATTTCCACGGCCTTGACCTTAAGAAAACCATCGATTCGAACAAAAATTCCAGCGGTTATTCAAAACAGAATATCAATCCCGGAATTATCCCCAATCCGAAGCAAAGAATTATTCAAACTTGACACGTTTCTGAGAAGTGCCAAACGTGGGACATATAAAAGTTGGTTGTTTTGTTCTGTGATGTGAAAAAATTAACCTGGATGATCCAGATGGCTTTCACCGTCATTGGCACGATCAGAATATCCACTGGTGACATCTACACGACAGTAGAGGAGGTTCGATCATGATCTGGGGTGCTATCTCCTGCCAAGGAACAGACCCGCGGCTGGTTATATTGGTATGTTGAAGCGTAACAATCCTTGCACAATCCAGGTACAAGCTTAGGTAGAAATGATTGGATCATTTAGCAAGACAATCGCTTAAATCTATAATGCTCGCATGGCAAAGGACTTTTTTCACTGCGATTAACGTGATTTTTTTATTTATTTTTTCCCGACCGGAACCCCATTGAAAATGTTCGGGGGAGATGGCAATGGATATCTATCGAATTGAATGTCAACTCCAAACAAAGCATGGTGTTCGTAAAGCAATCCTTACCACTTGGAATAACATTCCAACCAGCATTCTACAAATGCTTATATCGAACATGCTAAAGCGAAGTTTTAATTTATTGACAATGACGGCCGTATATCTCATTACTGAGACGTCTTGATGGACATTTAGGACTTCGTTTATGTCTGCTGTTAAACTTGTGACCAGCTAAGTATTTTCCATAATTTTCTAGTATTCAAAATTTCCGTATTATGCTATTACAGTTTTTTAATTTTTTATTCTTAATTTCCTTTTTTAAGCTCTACTAAAATATATGGTCGAGTCTAACAAGACGAAATGTATTTTTTCCCTTTATTTTCATTCGCCTTATGTTAAAACAATTATAAACAATTATCAGAAATACAGTGGATTATACTATCAGGAGACAGCAGGAACGGACAAAACAAGACCAAAAGTAGGTATGGTAGACCAAAAAAGGACAAAAGAGCAGAGTACAATTTCATCAGAATCACGATCTTGCTGGACAGAAGGCTGACTGCTTCAAACATCACTGCACAACTGAAACAATATCGTGAAAAAATGTACCAACATCCACTGTTAGGAGAAGACTCTGTGAAGCTGGCCTATTTGGCAGAACTGATGACAAGAAACCACTGTTGAAGAATCAAAACAATACCAAAATGCTTCAGTGGGCCAAGGCACACAAAGACTGGACAATAGAACAGTGAAATAAAGTCCTTTGGATTGATGAATCAAAGTTCGATATCTTTGGGTCAAGTAGAAGGGTCTATGTGCGGCGAAGTGTTGCTGAAATACCTGCAGCCCCCTGTATTACACCAACCGTAAAGTATTGAGGAGTATCTGCCCTGGTGTGAGGTGCTTTTGCCAATTGTAAAATTGGGGATTTGAGCAAGGTGAATGGCAAAGTGATTCAGACCGGCTAACACAGCATACTGCAGCATCGCACGATCCCATCTGGAGAGCGTCTTGTGCGTCAAGGATTTGTACTCCTGCAAGATAGTGACTCAGAGCATACTCGTAAACTCTGCTAGAGATACACTAAAAGCAAAAAGCACGTCCTTCCACTGAAGTCTTGGCCGGCACAATCAGCGGACCCAAAATTCTACTGAGCTGTTGTGGGATGAACTTGACCTGAAAATTCACAGTTAAACAACCCACACAATTGCGGCTCAACTCTGGCAACCCTTGCAGGAAAGCAGGGCAAATTATCTTTAGTCTACCTCCAGTCTTTTGGCGGAAAGAACGCCGTAAATCTGTGAAGTAATAGTGGACAAAGGAGGTCATTTGATGAATCAAAGGTTTAAGATGT